CACAAGGTCCTTGGTTCAAGCTCACCACCTGTTCCTCTGGAATCCTATACAGGGTTACTATAGGTCAGAACCAATGCTATAGCACTTAACAACAGCAACAACATAGCACCATTTAGGAGCTCTGCTAGCATAGTGATTATGAGTTGAGCTACTAACCTGAAGATCAGCAGTTGAAAACTACCAGTCATTCCATAGGTAAAAGATGAAGCGTTTTTGCTCCCATAAAGATTTACAGCCTTCGTAACCCTATACAGCGTCACTGTGAGTCAAAACAGACTCCACAGCACATAACCAACCAACTAGTCATAGCTCCATTTACCTGTTCTTCTTACGTCTTTACAGTCATTAAATCTTTTTTTTCTGGTTGCTGCCAGATTTTATTTCTTTTTTATCTTTATTATTTTCTCTTTTCAGTGTTATTTCCTTGTATGTTTATTTTGTTTTGTTTTCTTGTGTGTGTGTGGAGGGGGGCTGAGGAAGGTTTTCTCTTTTCTTTCCAACAGGAGACAGAAACCTTACCCATACAGTCCATTCACAACCATACCTCATAGCTCCATCTACCTGGCAAGATCTAGTACCAGTTTCTATACCACCTGATCAATGATAGACAGCAGCCAACACCAGCAAAAACCACCCTGAACTGAGGTGCACAAATGACAAACAATAATGGTACACACACTTCCATTCTCAAACTACACCTATAGGAGACAGTTGGATAGAGTCTGAAAATACACCCACACACAACCATCAATTAAATACAAATAAAACGACCCCACATTGCCCCAAGAAACAACAGAAAAATTTCATTTACATGAAGAAGCAAGAGAAAATGGCTCCAACAAATGACCAAGATGCATAGACAGAAAGTGTTTCTGAAGAAGAAAATGTAATGGAACTAACTGAAAAATAATTCAGAAAGAACGATAATTGGGTACCTTCAAAGGATCAATAGAAAGAATGAGGAAAGCAAGAACACAGTAAAAACTTCAGAAGAATTCAGGAAAACACTCCAATAACAGACAATGTAAGTGCAAATTTTGAAACAATACATAACCTGTGATTAGAAATCGAGAAGATTAATATTATGATCTCAGAAAGGAACAATACATTGAAAGGGCAAAGAAGCAGATTTGAAGAAATGGAAACTCGAATTAGTGATCTTGAAGATAAATTTCTCAATACTAGTATGCTAGAACTACCAGAAAAAAGTATGAAGAAACCTAAAGAATCCCGCATTAGGTGGGAAACCATGACTTGGAACAACTAACAGGTAATCAGAATTCCAAAACAGGAAAAACAATAAAAAACACAGAAAATTATCAACGAGTTGTTGAAAGAAAACGTCCCTGATATCATGAAAGATGAGAAGATAACCATTCAAGAAGTACAAACCCCAAAGAGGATAGATACCAAAAGGGAGTTGGTTGGGAAAAATGAAAAGTTACCTACAAAGGAGAACTAATAAAACTAAGCTCTGATTTTTAGCAGAAACTATGCCTCAAGAAGGCAATGGGACGACATATACTCAATTCTGGAAGAAAAAAAATAAACTAAGAATCATATACTCAGCAATGCTGTCCATGAAATAAGATGGTAAAATGAAGATGTTTACTACAACAACAACAAAAAACAGAAATTAAAGGAATGTGTAGTTACAAGATCAACTTTATATAAAATGATAAAGAATGTTCTTTGGACTGAGAAATGACAGCAGCATACAATAATCTGAGATTACCATACATGGCAACACCACCCAGAAATGAATCCAGATATGTTGTTGTTGTTGTCATTATTAAGTGCCTTGGATAGGACTTCCAGGGCTTTACATATTCAAGAGAGCAAAAATCCTCCTCTCTTTCCTGCGGAGTGGCTGGAGGCCTTGTGGTTCACAGCCCAATGCTTACCGCATAAAGCATTAAAAGTAAAACAAACTCACAAAACTGAAAATAGGGAACCAGAGATAAATTTATAATGAAGTCAACCAAAAAGCATAAAGAGGAAATAGTGTAGATATAGCACTTCCAAAAGGCAAGGCTGTCAAGCAGATTTCAAGATAAGCCAGACTGGTTTAAATAGGGAAAAACATTAATAAATTACAGGGTAACCTCAAAGGAAATGAATACACGTGAACATCAAAATGTTTTTAAAAAGAGGAAAACTAGAAAGTCTTACAGTCAACACAACAGAATTGAAAATGCAAAGATGCAACAAACAAAATGAACTCCATGCAGTAAAATTATGTGGAACAAAGAAACCAGCAGCAGCCCAATAAAAACACACAGCCCAAAGACAGCAATCAACTCATACCTATTGATCATTGCACTAAATATAAATGGATTAAACGTACCAATCAAGAGACAGAGAGAGCCAAATGGATAAGAAAACAGGATCTTTCAATATGCTGTCTACATGAGACACATCAAAATAATGTAAACAGCCTAAAGACCCATCAGCAGAAGAACAGTCAAATAAACTTTAGCATATACACACAATGTAATAGTACCCAATGTTGAAGGATAACCATGAATCCTTATAACATGGATGAACCTGAGAGACATTATGCTATATGAAATTAGTGAATCACAAAAGGATAACTATTTTATGAGATCAATGTTATAAAAATTTAAGAAAAGTCTTTCTCAATCTATGATGGTTACAGAGAGGAGTAGTGAGGGAAAATTATTCATAGACTCGAAGATAGACACATATTAACATGGGAGACAGGGCAGGCAGTATATAATAAGAGTGAAGTTTAAAAAGAGAAAAGATGAAGATAGCAGGGAGGAATGCAAAGTTTAAATGAATAGAGGTAAATACTAAACTTTTGGTACATGGGAGGTATTGCAATCATTATAATGAAAGTATATGATTTGTCGAATGTAAAATTGATTATCTGCTCTGGTAGCATTGTTGTTGTTGTTGCTAAGTGCCGTCGAGTCGGTTCCGACCCATAGCGACCCTGTACAGGGTTTCCGAGGCTGTAAATCTTTACGGGAGCAGAACGCCTCATCTTTCTCCCGCAGAGCAGCTGGTAGTTTCGAACTGCTGGCCTTAAGGTTCGCAGCCCGATTCGTAACCACTACGCTACCAGAGCTCTGGTAGCGTAGTGGTTACGAATCAGGCTGCTAATCTCACGGTCAGCAGTTCAAAACTACCAGCTTTTCTGCGGGAGAAAGGTGGGGCTTTCTGCTCCCATTAAGACTTACAGCCTCGGAAACCCTGTACAGGGTGGGGTCACTCTGAGTAGGAACTGACTCCATGGCACAAAACCATAACAACAGCAACAAACTCCCACTCAATTTACAATAAAAGGTTAAATAAAAAATAAAATGTAATTTATTTATGCATCTTATAGCTGCACATGATTTTGTTATTGACATTTACCCATAATAAGCATACAGGCAATTAAAAACAGAAATAAGTACAGATAAGAATATATATTAGAGAAATGTATGCTTACCATCAAAATAGGCGAGAGAAACAAAAAACAGAAGATATACTTTTTCTCCATCATTAAAGCCAAATGAAATATGCTATGTAATATAAATCAAACTGCAATAGAAAATGAAAGAAATAATTCATCAACAGAAAATTTATTTTGAAAATACACAATAATTTTACTTTTAGGATTTGATTGGTAATATTACCCTTATTAATAAAAGCATCATGGCTTAAAGTAATAAAAAGCTTAATTTAACAAATTTCAATCTAATTTTAACTAATGTTACACATAGTAAAGCTTCTTACATATGTATTTTTATGTCATTAGAAAACATTTGCTTTATGTGCTTTTACCGAAATTGAGATCAAATGATTAAAATATCAAGAAGATTTCTACATCAACAGAAAAACACAGATTTTGACAGCAATTTATTATAAAGCTTACCACTAATATCCATAAGAAATAATCTGGTTTTTAGTTTTCTAGTTCCTTGCTAATTTAAGGGGTCAATTGTTCTCAAGTTAATTTCTTGAGAAACAGCATTCATATGCCATAAAAATTACTTTATAATTTAATAAACATTATCCTTCACTGCAGGAGATGGTTTTGTTTTGTGGGGATTTTTTATAATCAGGATATGAAATAGAAATTATCAAATAAGGTAATTTCTGCTTTAAGGTTTCTAGCATGGGACACAGTTCTGACCAAATGAAAACTGACTTGGAAGTGACAATATACACTAGTCTCTTAATTCTCGAAGACAAATATTGCTGAGGCATACTGACTATTGTTTACTTCCTCTTAGGTTCACCAGCATCCTACTCTGAAGTTTATGGGATATCAACTGTCATGGTATACTCACAAAAATATAATCTCCATTTAAATGAATGAGAACTGAATGTGTAACAAAATGCTTTTTAAAGGAGACACAAAAATAGCCCAATCAGGCAATGTTTGGCAATGAACTATGAACTCTGACTTAATTCTCTTTAAAAACTTGTCATTATATTTTCATTATGCAGCTAATTTTAGAGTAAGAACTCAAACACTCTTTTTCATATGTAGTGTTTATTGATTTTATTACCGCATACAATGAGAGTACAGCATTAAGTAGCACGTAGAAACTCTGCCATTACTTGCCCTCCCCATTGACTCACCTAAAAGCAGTTTTTCTGTTTAATTGTACAAAGTTCTGAATTAGGTTTTCTCTTCTGTCAGCTATACTGAGGTGTTCTTAAGTGACCTTAAGAAAAAAAAAAAAATCAAGAAGCATTGTATTAATTTAAAACACAACTGAAAATGTAGCATTTCAACAGAAGAAAAACAATGAATCACAGTTTCTGCAATTCAATAATTAATGAGTTGATATTTTATTTTATATTACATTTCATGATGAGAAAATCTAATTTTCCAATACTTACATGAACAATTGTCTCCAGACTCAAATTACATTTTCTCCTGAATCATATTTGATATTGTTTTGAAGAATTTCTTAAATCCAGAGGTCATGACCTGAAATATCGATTAATGTAATGATTTAGTATTATTTTAAAGATTCTAAATTATTTATGTGATAAATTGAAAACTACTACCAAAATGATATTCTTATTGTAGTAATAATTTTTAAAATTTGTGTCATTTATGATATATTTGAAATACTAGATATGGGGTGCTGGTGTGGCACTATAGGATAAACAGTAGACTGCTAATCACAATGTCAGCAGTTCAAACCCAACAGCCACGCCTTGGAAAAGCTACACATTGCTGCTGTGAATCGGAACCAAATAGATGGCACTTAACATATATTTGTGTATTCATTATGTATAATAATTCATTATGAACCATAGCTGTGTCATGAGAGCAAAATTGTTTTAGAACTAGCAAGGTGCTTCAAAAGTTTGTGTAAATGTCGAGTCGGTTCTGACCCATAGTGGTCCTCTATAGGGTTTCAGAGGAGCAACTGATGAGTTTGAACGACTACCATTTTGGTTCAAACCAACTTTGCAGTCCAGCGTTATTAACACACAGTGCCCCACCAGGACTCAGAAAATGGAATTAAAAGCTAAAGAAAAAATTTTCCATGAAATTTTTAAGCCCCACCCCACCACTCCTCAGTACACACCCGGGTGCGTTAAAAATTATTGGCACTTTGGTTATATTAACATGCCCATCCACATCAACGGGTGATGACAACACTGAGCATGCATGTGAAATGATTCTGTCGAATAGAGAAGAGGCAGTGGATTATGTGGCAAATCATTTGAAAATCAACCATGACTCTGCCTATGAAATAATCCATGACAGACTTGGGTCTCAAAAAGTTTGTGCAAGCTGGGTACAAAAACAGCTCCCAAAAAAAGAATAAACAGAAGTGTTTGGACATCTGCAAACAAAATTTGGGCCGACACTGGGCGAAAGATAAAAGTTTCTTTTAAAAAATCGTTACTGGTGATGAGACATGGATTCATCACTAGGAGCCTGAGAGTAAACTGCAGAGTATGAAATGGAAGCATCCTTAATTGCTGACCAAGAAAAAGTCCAACAGTCACCCATCAGCTGGAAAATTAATGCTCACAGCTTTCTGAAACTCTTAAAAGCCAGTATTGGAACAAAATCAGGAAAAAGGTTCAACAATCAACAGTGTTCATTACAGTGAGATGCTCAATGAAGACCTAAAGCCTAAATGTTCTATTAAAGGCAGAAGTCTGCTATGCAAGGGCATTGTGATCTTGCATAACAATGCACATCCTCACGGCTCTTCCTACATTGTTGTCACCCTGTAAAAAATTTATTTTGATGTGTTATAGCATTCTCCCTCAGTCCTGATCTTGCTCCCTCAGACTTTCAACTGTTTGATCCCCTGAAAGCACTCCTTTGAAGACAAAGATTCACTTCTGATGAAGAAGTGAAGACAGCAGTGCATCTGTGGTTCACAGTTCAGCCTAAAACATTTTTTTTTAAATAACGGACTATGAAAACTTGTTGACAGATGGAGAAAGTGTATTGAAAAGTAAGGAGATTATGTTGAAAAGTTATACAGTTGTCTTTTCTAAAAGTTGATTAAAATTAATTCTACAGTCAGAGTGCAGTTATTTTTTAACTTGCACTAGTGTTTGTGTGTGTGTGCATATATAGATATAATACTTTTTCCTTTCCCTTCTCAGACCTGGTTCAGTACTGGTGTGGAAACTACTGCACTTCTCTAATATCAACCACTCTTAGAAAAGAAGAACCATTTAAACATTGGATTATTCTGGATAAAAATTCAAGGAGCCATTGAAAACTTAACATGGTTATCCCTCTTGCTCTTGGGATGCCAGTCAGCAGGTGAGCACTTGGGTTCCTGGTGAGGTAGACAGTAATTAATATTTGTAAAAGAAAGAGACTTAAGAGTGAACTCTTACAGTCTTCCACATATGTGCTGGAAACAGAAAACTGCCAACATTTTCAACAAGTACCAGAACAAACAGTTGGAGTCATGAGTTGTATATTTCATTTTTCTGGAAGATTGGACTTAAGAACTGTAATTCTTAGACTACTCTCTGTCTAGGACTATTTCAGGGGCTATAAAATCAAAGCAAAACTATCTGACAAGAGATCGCTGCAAAAATAAAAACTAATCACTCCCAGAGAGAGAGACATTTATCTCAAAGTAATGCTTATGTAGTTGTTGAGGTTGGCAAGCCCCAAGCCCATGGGTCAGACTTCAGGCTGAGGCTCTTGTCTCACATAGCCACAGGGGCTGACAACCTCAAAATTGGCAGGTTGGATAGCATGCTGCTGGCTCACAGGCTTTGAAGATCAGCATGTAAGATGGTAGAATAATGATTCAGAGAGTGCTGAGGCTAATGAATCCCAAGATCACCAGATAATACAACAGGCCACTTGTTCAAGTCCCAAGAACTGGAGATCAGATAATGAGAGTTAGATGCAAGATCCAGAGTGAACAAAAAGCTAATGAGCTTTGCCAGACAGTCCATATAGATTTGAAGCAGGTCACATCCACAAGGAAATTTCCTTTTCAACTGATTGGGTACTCATTCATAGTAGATCTCATTCTGGAGTCAATTAGATTAGAACTCATCATGGGGGATAATTAAATCATAACTTCCACACCAGAGAAGTAGGGTCTAGCCAAGCTGACGCTTAAGTTTCACTATCAGAGTCTAGTTTTTGGTAGATGGCAAAGTAAACTTATTATCAGAATAATGTTTAACTCACAGATACTCTATATACGATTTGCAAAGAGCAGCTTGTTGTTTGAAATATGGACCTTGTGGCTAGCAGTCCAGTGCTTATCATACAGCACCAACCAGAACTCTTAAATGCATAGTAATGCCTTACAAACCTACTTCCCATTTTCTCACATTTTATTATTTTTAATTAAATTTTCCATTAATTTATTTTTGTTTATAATAATTATTATTTTTAGTTGAGTCCACCACCTGATATCATAACATGTATGTTAAATCCAAGATTAAGAAGAAAAAAAAAAAGCTTTTATCATCTACTTCTCCATTTCCAAAATGTCTTATTTTTAAAGACTCTGAGGCATATTATTTTCTCCATTGATTTAGCCAGTCACTATAAAGATGGCTAGCAGAAGTATTTCCCACACATATCTAATTTGCCATCATATTTATTTAACTTTTAACTTTTCTGTGAGCAAAGCAGGTTGTTTCCTACCTTGTACTCACCTTCCATTACATATGACAAATTAACCAATAAATAAGGAACCGGCTACATATCTCTTGAACTCTTGAATCAAAACAGGAATAAGCATTCTTTAATTTTAATATTCCACACTTGTATGAGAAATGGAAGCATCTTTCTGTTACTTTATGTAGACTAGATTATGTCATTGCAAAAAAAAAAGAAAAAGAAAAAGAAAAACACTCAGAGTTGATTATTTCAGAAGCTAAGGTTTGAAAATTCCTGGGCACATTTTTTCTTTTGCTTATTCAGTTTTTCAGAGTCCTAATGGTGCTGTGGGTTAATGACTGGACTGCAATGTCGGTTTGAACCGTGAGGCCAGTGGTTCAAGCTCACCTGCCACTCCTCGGGCCCTATAC